AGGTGCAAGATTATGCCAACATTTCATGTTTTCCGGCCCGTTTTTGCTCATTTCTCGGAGGCAAAATGAGCCAGAACGCTCATTTGTACGTCATTCTAGAGATAAATAAATGGCCTTTTTAGCAAGTGAACCATCGATAAGAAAATGTTGGCAGTTTTCTCAAAAAATGCTTGAATACAAGAAGTTTTAGATTTGCGTGGTTTTCTTTGAGTTGCAAAATCCACTTGAACATAACGCTGCTTTTTTCGAAGTTTCTCAAGAACCATTCGAGCCAGAGAATTCATTTTTTCAAGTTTTGGCATCGTTGGATAGAGAATTGAATGGGTGACCCTCATGACCCCCCTGGATCCGCCCTTGTTTTCGCTCCCCTTCATCAACTTACCCGATGTTTGTACATCTTTTTGGACTGCTAATGTCCAAGTGTAAATACTGAGGCTTGTTCCTATTTTCAATCGAGTTTAAAGGGATGCTTTTGCTGTTGTGGAAATCAATTAGTAACTTTAGAAGTGGCAAATTTCCAGTTTGGGCTGCCGCTCCTATTAGTGTCATCCCATTTCTGCATATTTTGTTTATATGAATATCTAGAACAACACTTGTTAATAAGATGCTTTTCCCTGTGCCTCTGGGTATTCGTGGTATAAACAGTGAATTTCTAGTGCTAATTTATGTACATAAGCTGCAGTACCCACCATTGTTCAAAGTGATTACATTAAGATCTTTTTCGAAAATGGATTTCATCAACCGTTCATTAGGCCCATCCATAGTGAATCAGTCGGTTCACCTCTTCATTCTGATATCAATGTGCAAATTACCACCAGGGTCTTCCATGGCTTTTCCGCGTTTTCCAAAATTTTCGTCAAGATTTTTACAACTTTTCATCAGCTGATTGTCATTTAATATTTTGTCAACAAAACCGAAGGTCTCAGAACATGGCAGCCAATCAATCCGGCCGAAGACGTCAAGGAGTGGTGTGGGGAAAAGACAGAGATGACACTATTTGGGAGGTGTTCTATTCAAGGATTGTCAATATTAATTTGAAGAAAATTAACAGTTTTAATGGAGAAATTAAAATTATGAATAAACTGTTTAAGAAAGCAAGAGGTGAATCTAATAAGAATTTTTTCCTTCAAAAACTCTAACTAAAAATTACTTGATTTTAATTAACTGAGTTGCAGCATGTTTCAGTGCAGCAGAAAAGTGCTTCTATCAATAAAACGTTGAGTGTAAACACTTAATAATAAAGTAAGTTAGCATATGAAGTAAATAATTGATAAAAGTTTTGGTGAAACGATTGTTATGAAAGTCTGGAATTGGAAGACTTCTTGGATACATGACAACGCTGTGCAAATCAAATCATCCGGGCCACGGGAACGGGCGTCATTTTTGGTCTGTTGGTGTTTGCAAATCGAATAAAACTCGCCAAATCGTGAAAATTTGCACGTTTTTCGTGATTTTATTTTGAAATTGAAGACTAATTAACCAGAATCATGAGTGTAGAGGAGGAGGTCATGAGAATCCAGAAGAAACTGAGTAAAATGACATCGGACGATGGCAGTGTAAGTTTCTGGAATGACTGCTTGTAGTCCAGTCGAAATCATTTACCAGAGACAGTTTTGATTCGCAAAAATTCCTGTTATTTATAGAAGCCACATTTCCTGTAGCATACCGTCTCTCTATTGAGCCCCGCTTAGGATCTAGTTTTGGGGTTATGGTCATTTCCAGCTTGAATTTTGCCTCCTGTGTCCAAATCGGGGGCCCCATTCTATTAACCTGTCACAGGAACTACTAAAAAACAAAACCCCAATTTCATGAAACACCCAGGAATTCGATATAGTTCGGTTTAATAGTTGATAGCACTGGGGGCTACCAGGGAACAGAAACTAAGTTTCCACTGGCTTAACAGTTTATTATTGTTGATATAAAATATGAAAGTTCCATAAAGATGAAATAAAAACACTACCTACATTTGCTATTCACCCACATCCATGTGAGATACTGTTTTAAACTTCAGGTTCAGGAAAAGTAACAAATTATGGGTTATTTTGCATACCTTCATTCACAAGATGTTACGGATTATTTTTGTGTTTAAAAATCTCAAGCTTAACTGGAGAACATTGCCACTTTAACAAACTTTGCGTTAACTCAAAAACTTGCGCTCAAAAAGTTGGAGAAGTGAAACTTGAGTATTTTACAGGGACAAGAGCAGGCCCTTGATTTGCTGAAAGAACTTCAAAGCCTCAAAATAAACCTGGACGTGTTAACCAAGACACGCATCGGCATGACTGTAAATGCTCTTCGAAAGTCCAGCAAAGATGATGACGTTATCACTTTGGCGAAGACTCTTATTAAAAATTGGAAGAAGTTCTTGAGCAGTTCTGATACCGGTTAGTACAGCGTTTTATCTTTAGATCAACTGCTAACAATGAGAAATCCGAAAGCTGAAGATAATTACACGTATACAATGTGCGAAGTTTGCTAAATAGCATCAGAACCGACTACTTAATACGTTAATGCCACCCTATCAGTTTTTTGCTTGGACGTTTTGTATACTTTTAACCGTCCTGAACAGATTTTTATTTACTTAAGAAAATATCAGGTAATTCTCCTGCATAAACTTGAATTCCTTGTTGCTTTAGGCAAGTCATCGAGTTCGTCAGATGCAAAGGAAAGCAAGAAAGATGAAAAACGAAAAGAGGATAAGCCAAAGAAAGATGACAGAGAAAGAGATCGGAAGTTGCCCACTGCTTTTCCACCCACGAGCGTCACCACCGATTCAGTCAGGCTAAAATGCAGGGAAATGTTGGCGTCCGCCATCAAAACCAACTCAAAGGATGAGGACTTTGAGGGTGAGCAACATGCAATTGATCGTCACATCATAGCCAATAACTGTTTCTTTCAATTGTCTTTAATTTTTCTTTTTCTTTAAGGTTGTGCATCTGCAGAGGAACTGGCAGAGGAGCTTGAAGAAGCGATTTTCCAGGAAATAAAGAACACCGACACGCGATACAGAAATAGGATTCGATCCAGGATTTCGAATCTAAAAGACATCAAGAACCCCACTTTGAGGACTAGTTTCCGAGTTGGTGCGATTACTGCACAAAGGTGAGTTTGAGGTTTTATTACAAATTGAACGTAGAATAGTTTTTTTGTAAAATTAAGAAAGAAAGTGTCCCTTATGTTGCCAATTTCAGTTGACACAGTGTAAATGTTTTCATCTTATTTATCCAGAATAGAAACTTGATCAATAACTATAAATTGAATAAAATACTAATCGAAGCTCTTTTGCGTTTGGCCAGGTTGGCTTCAATGACGGCAGAAGAGATGGCCAATGACGACGTGAAACAGTTACGGGAAAAATTCAACAAAGAAGCAATCAATGATGCACAGTTGGCCACCGCACAAGGTAAATCGCATTTCTGTGCTTTCCCGTGTCCGGTTAAGCTCACTTTTTCTTTGCAGGAACAAAAACCGATATGTTGAAGTGCGGCAAATGCAAGAAACGTAACTGTACTTACAACCAGCTGCAGACGAGGTCCTCCGATGAACCTATGACAACGTTTGTGCTGTGTAATGAGTGCGGTAATAGATGGAAGTTTTGTTAAGACTAGACGTAAGAAAAAAGGCGTATTTAAGTCACTAGTTTATTTTATGCTGAAGTTAAACTGGACAGATAATTCGATTCAATGTTGAAGCTTCGAAGAAAGGTGCGTGAAATGGGATGGTTTGCTTCATCTCAATTTGGCCATTTTTTTAAGAGGTTTGGAGACATTTCAGATAAGGTTTTTGTTCATTTAAACAGGTGGTTGCAACTCTAGTGTAGACTTTCATACGTTTGCTTGCTAGATTGTGAACGTAGTTCATGGGAAAATTGTGATGACCTTATTTATTGAGTAAAATAAACACCGATGAAAATGCACTTGATCCAGCGATTATGTCACATTTCATACTTTATTGTTTTCACACGTTAGTTGTTTGCAAAGGATTGAAACCTATAATGGGAGCAACCGTAAAACTGTTTGCAGTTACTGGATCACTACTTAGGTCTAGTAATATCTAAGTTTATACTTAAATAAATTGAATCTTATGTTTTAATTGATTTAATTCAACTGTAGAGGATAGTTTTTGTTAGCGACTTATAGGAAACCATCTAAATATTCTAGCAAGCGATCTTCTGATATGTCTACTTTGGGCAAAACCCATAAATCGTTATTATCCGCATGTTCCTCGGGTGTTTTCCGTTTAAATTATACTACGTTGATTGTTCCACTTGGTTTGGCTACCCAGAAAGTCAGCCCATCAAGCGCAACAGTGGCACTAAAAAAGAAAAACGGGTAAATTTACTTGTTAACTAGTCATGTTTAGTTCAAATCACACACTGATTAATGACGAAGGCGTTATTCTGTAAAACGTATTTTTAAACTCTTTAGATCATGAAATCGGTAGTAACACGTTGTGTGATTGGCTGTATTCGGTTAAGGATATTTGCAGATGATCAAGATATCGGTTTGCTAAATAAATCAATTTCTCGCCAACAGTCCACCTTTTCTTAGTCTATTTATAATGCTAAGTTTCACTTACTATACGGTGTATTTTCCCGCTGTAGATGGAGCTTTCCATGTGAGTGAAATGTCTGATTTCTCAACCTTGTTTTTGTGAGTGGCACCGCTCTGAAACAATATTGCTATATTTAGGTTTTATTTGGTATGGACATTGTCAGGAATCATTAAACATACGTGAGCCCAGATAATGAATTATTTTCGATTTGGACGTAAAACTCACTGATACACACATGATACTAATGCCCTTTTTAAGCGAACACTTACGCCTTTAATTCCATTGCAATTGATTGCTTTCAAATATTTGTCGTCGGCAGGGATCTGGAACGAACCTACAGCTTGATCTCCATCCCTCACTTCAACGAGGAATCCTACAAAAAAGTTATTTGTTTTCTTCTGATTTATTGCCAAGTTAAATCATAATTTATGCATGTGCTGCAAGGTGCATAGCACAGCACAAAAAGATAAGTGGAAGTTATTGTCTCTAT